ATATTGTCATTTTGTGGTAAACAACAAAATATTCCTAGAAATCAACATACCTACATCCCTTAAATATGCAACATACCTGAAATAAATTTGTAATTGACCAATTTTCGTCCTCTATTCTTGTAATTCTCAACTGGTTCAAGTCGAATATGTATAGGATGGTTACCTGGTCCAATGATCAGGTATCGCTTCTCGGCCTTATGGCTAAGATCAAAGTGTAGTATCTGTTCTTATCAGCTTAACATCTGATAGTTCCTCCATTGGAGGACAACAAATGTTAAACTGATTTTTGGAATTAGACGGAGTGCTAGGGGCTTGCTCCACCTCTGTCGCGGGTTGGCCCGGTATTGCAGTACCGCCGGGATTTCGGCCCACCATTATAAATAAATTGTCAAATAAAAACTCATATTATCCTCATCAAGAATTGAATTCTTTTTCCTCAAAAGAAAAGGGTTCCTGCATTATACACTGAAATTCTGTCTTAAAATGTTTTTCAATGTTAAAGCTAGTGTACTCTTAACCAAAAATAAATGAACATACCAAGAAACAAACTTCTTGTTTTCGTAATTTTCCGAAAATGTTTCGAAAACGATGCACAAACCTTTTGGGGAGTAATTCTACTTAGAAGGAGCATATAACAACATAGCAATTCTAGTGCAGTTTTCAAAATTTACAGGGGACCCTCCAGAAAATTTGTCGAAAAATCGAAAAAATATTTCGTTCCTAGATTTGGATGCAGAATGATGAAGAATTCGTGTACGAATCGTTTAAGGTGTTCCTCTTAGGAATCGGATAAATATTGAGAAAGATATAGCCCTCTATGGGGGCCATATAGCCCTTCTAGTGCAGTTTTAAAAATTTGAAGGGGACCCTCCAGAAAATTTGACGAAAAATCGAAAAAATATTTCTTTCTTAGATTTGGATGCAGAATGATGGAGAATTCATGTACGAATCGTTTAAGGTGTTCCTCTTAGGAATCGGATAAAAATTGAGAAAGATATAGCCCTCTATGGGGGCCATATAGCCCTTCAGTGCAGTTTTCAAAATTTGAAGGGGACCCTCCAGAAAATTTGTCGAAAAATCGAAAAAATATTTCGTTCCTAGATTTGGATGCAGAATGATGGAGACTTCATGTACGAATCGTTTAAGGTATTCCTCTTAGGATTCGGATAAATATTGAGAAAGATATAGCCCTCTATGGGGGCCATATAGCCCTTCTAGTGCAGTTTTCAAAATTTGAAGGGGACCCTCCAGAAAATTTGTCGAAAAATCGAAAAAATATTTCGTTCCTAGATTTGGATGCAGAATGATGGAGACTTCATGTACGAATCGTTTAAGGTATTCCTCTTAGGATTCGGATAAATATTGAGAAAGATATAGCCCTCTATGGGGGCCACATCGCCTTTCCAATGCAGTTTTCAAAATTTGATGGGGCCCCTCCAGAAAATTTTAGGAAAAATCGAAAAAATATTTTGTTACTTTTAGGAATCGGAAAGATATAGCCTTCTATGGTGATCATAAGGGGGCCTGGAACTAGGGGGTACTACCAATGCAATTTATAAAATTTGAAGGGTATGTATTTTTATTTGGTGGTGGTTTTAATGAAGGATAGATGTGCAAAGTATATTTTGTAGTGCCTGATACACATATGACCTCCTTGCACTGCAAAATGACATAATAATAATACATACAAGATTATAAGGAAACCCTTAAGTATGCCACATGAAATTGATTACTTTCCACTTTCTGTTTTTGTTATAGTCCTTATGATTCCTAACCGGTTTAGGTCAGAAATTCATGAATTGGTTAATCGATTCCTGTTTCAGGTATCGCTTCTCGGCCTTATGGCTAAGATCAAAGTGTAGTATCTGTTCTTATCAGCTTAACATCTGATAGTTCCTCCATTGGAGGACAACAAATGTTAAACTGATTTTTGAATTTAGACGGAGTGCTAGGGGCTTGCTCCACCTCTGTCGCGGGTTGGCCCGGTATTGCAGTACCGCCGGGATTTCGGCCCAACATTATTAATAAATTTTCACTAGATTTAAACAAGTCCATTCATCCAATAAATTGGAATTTCTGAACACACTCCTTCTTGTTAAGAATGTGCTTCCCACATAGGCGATGTTTCAAAATATTCGTGTATATATTTTGTATATATATTATATATTCGTGTGTAATATTTATATACATATAAAACGACGTCATTTACGGGGGGTTTTATTGGGCTATTCTTTTTTATACTTGCCAGGGGTATTATAACTTTGATCAAAAAGGCTTAATGCCGTGGAGGAGACATTCCGGCCTTATAATGTATTGATATGCTTGAAAAGGATCACTTCCTGAGTCGATATAAACTTGTCCATGAACTAATCTCCCAGGTTTAGCTGTCTGTTAGCTGTCCCAGGTAACTAAATGATCGGAAATGTAAAAAAATTTGTATTTTTCATTAAAAGGTTGGGGACCTTTAACTTCTTTAGTCATCAAAGTTAATCGGTCAAATTTCATAAGGATCGTCGGCCGACTATATCCTTTAGCTGCCATATTAACAAATTACTCCAAAATGAAAAATTTATATTAAACAAGATTGCTACATTTGTACTTAAAGAAATTATTTGATAATGAACCTCCTATGGCCAACGGTTGTTGCTATTTTCAGTATAAATATGGACATTGTATATGTTTCCGATGTTAACAGCAAGGGTATAGTTCCTTTCTTGTTCCTTAAGGGAGAAAATGTTTTTCTCGATTTTCTATATATTCCAGACATTCGAATAATTCCCAACTAGTTCAGACATCGTCCCTAAGGAAACCCTCTACCTGAGACGGAGAAAGCATACTTACCTGGCGTAGAGGTTAACCGTGATCACGAAGGCGGTTCCTCCGGAGTGAGACCTGGCCATTGCACCTCGGTTGGGTTGACCTCTGCGATTATTCCTAATGTGAATAACTCGTGCGTGTAATTTTTGGTAGCCGGGAATGGCGTTCGCGCCGTCCCGACATAAATAATAAATATACAACTTGTTTATGGCTTTAACTTTATAATCCACTGTTAAGCCTAAGCCCTTTAAAACCAACTAATTGTTTTGTTCTACAAACGGTTAGATATCAAATATTAGCTATGCACTGAAAGTCTATCATGTCCATCAATCAAAGTAGAGCAGCGAGTAAATTATAAGGGAATGCCACTGCTGCCAAAATCTGATACAGAATGCACTGTGCACTGGTTGCCTGTGGTTACACGCTTTGAATATTTCGACTGAAACCCACCCACCCTGAAAACGCACTTGTCGAACTGATGGAAGGGATATGGTTTACGGACTTCTATCCTCGATAGGGGTGAGAGAGGCAACACAACCCTTTTGGATTTCACGGTTGTGCAAAGATAGATTTCAAAGTGGGGGATGCTGCTGCTAAGTATCCCCGGAAACCCGTTAATTTATAGAGCTTATGTGTCTGCGATCCATTCAACTTTTCAGCTGGGCCCTGCACTTAAAGGCGATTAGTAGATTAAAAGCGTTTATTGTCTTCGGCAGACATTCGAGGCTCAGCGAATGGTTGTCCTGGTGATTATTGTCCGTCAGTGGAAATTCAATTGCCAAAAGTGGGTCGATGTCTAGGAGAGGGGGGCCAGTTGCCGTTTGGCCGTAGGTTGCCAATCAATTTTCCAACCTGGCCAGCCTGGCAACAAGTCAAAAATGAAGCTATCCATCTCCATGCCAGGTTGGAAGCGACGTCATCGACGCCTGCTTCTTTATTTTATCGGCTGTCAGGAATCTAATCGAGGCATCAGGAGACGAAGTAGACCCCAGACAGACGCAACCACTCAGCCAGCCAGAAAGATAGACATGGCCATTGACTATTATTTGTTTGACCCACCATCGCCACCACCCACTCTGACCCACAAAGCCCATAGCTGAAAAGCAACCAAACATTATTAACAACAACCATCGGCGGTCGTGTGCCGGGCAGCCTCAGGCGGTTCGCTCTTCATTGTCTGAATGTATCTAGTTAGATTGCGTATCGAGGCTGGGTGGTTCAGTGGATGGGTGGTTGGGGGATGTCAACGTGTTCGTCATCACTTTGTATAAATATCCTCGAGCACGTAGGACATATTCCACGCTGGCTGGGCCACGTGCTGGCTGCCCATATATATCTATATACTGTAGTTCGAACGCTGGTCCAGGACTTGAGAGGAGATTAATGCTCGCATTAGTCGATTTAATTCATATTACGAGTGCGTCTTGGCTACCAGCGGCGGCAATTGAGACGTTCTGGGGAATACCCTGGCAACAATTGATGTTTCCCAGAGAGCCGATGAGCCACCCTGGCTGGGGCTGGAGCTTTCGGCGTTAGGATTTAATATCGAATCGACAAGCGAGAAACAAACTGAAATTGCAGCCGGGGATTTGCGATTTTCGAGATGGAAGAACAGCCCCTGCAGAACAAGACACCTATCATCATCCTGTTCGGTTTAAACATTTTGGCATACATTTGCATTGTTTAGCCAGGAGTTGTTCGGCTGGCAAAGTCAAGCTTAGCATTGAATTTCAATATATTTCATGGTTTTCAATCAATTTCATGGCAAAATCCCCAAAGGGAAACGGTAAGCCAACAACTTCCCCGGGGACTTGTCAAGAGGATGGCAAACAGAGTCGTAGTTCGTCATCATCATCATCATCGTGGTCGTCGTCGCCGACAAAAGCAACAGAAACATCAGTGTTCAGTGCTCAGTGTACCTACCCATGGAAGGCTACACGCCAGCAACTTTTTGTATGGCAAAGTTCTTTCGTCTGAGGATTAATTTGTAAAGCGGGCTTCGCTCCCTTTGTCCGTGTCCAGCGAGTTTCTTGAGCCTCTGGATTATGAATCCGTATGAGAAACTGCAGTAAATTCAGCACCTGAAACTGCATTCAATATAAAAATCATATTTTCAGCTTCTTTTTATTTAAATCTGTTCCCTGACTAACGAATTTCCAACCCATTCATTTCTGTTTCCACAGCCGCTGGACGTGCCCCACCGGAACCCTACTACGGCCGCTATATTGGAAATTTTACTAACTTTGCCCATGGCATCAAGGTGAGTGCTGGACCAGATATTTTGTCTTATTTTCAAACAAATGATTTACAAACTTTTAACTTTCAAACCTAATTTCTTTCTAGGGAAAAATCTACGCGGTGGACGAGTCTACGTTGTTCGTAAAGTCCTTTGCCTATGATGGCACCGGTCCGGATGCCTTCTTCTGGGTGGGCAAGACGCCACGTCCCAGTCCCGAGGGCTACATTATACCCTATCCGGAGGAGTATTCGGGCATGTAAGTGTATCGATCTGTAAGGATATTTTAGGAATGCATATGGCTTGCCAGATGAATTTTTGTGGGCGGTCACTGATGGTCCAGTTGGTCCTTGTTGAAGTGGGAAATGGATGTGGAGTCGGAGACGGAGATGGAGATGTCCTGGCTACTCGAGCGCAGCAGGCCATTTCCTTAGGACGTGTGTGAGAGCCTGGATGCGTGGTTGTGTGTGTGTATGGTAGTATCCTTGCAGACTTTACGTTACGCACGGCTGACAATGAAACCACTTTCAAAAATTAAAAAACATTTTTCATCTCGCCTGCCATTTGTGCTCGCTTTCGTTTTCCTTCCCAGCTCTTTGTTGCTTTTTTTCCCCTCCCGTTGTTGTTGTTATTGTGGCTGCTGATGTTTGTGGGTCTCGTTGTTGTTGTTGTTTTTGGTGGGTGTGGTGGTGGTGATGGTGGTGTCGCTTGGTTGCCTCCTAATGTGAAAAACTCATTTATTTCTTCACGTTAGATTTGCGGTCATATGTAGTAGGAGAGTAGGAGGAGCTGGAGCCAGGGCCAGAGCCAGAGCCAGAGCTAGAGTCATAGTACCAGTCACAGTCGCAGCCACATGCCACAAAAAACAGCGGCAAACAAAGAAAGCCACAAGACAGCAATGGAAAGAGACATCAGATGACTGGCGGACAGAGGAGAAGTTTCAGCCTTCTCATCTACTACTCGTATTTACTTTGAGTCGCCACAAGGTTAAGCCGCTCAACTATTTACCTTGCCAGCCACCCTGCCACGCCCGCTGCCACTTGAACGCACTAAGCCGCTCTTGGCCTTCCTTTTAGGCTCGTGCTCCTGCTCCTGTCACAGCCCCTAGCCCTTTGGCACTCATCTCGATCCACCGACAATGTCGCATCTCTTCTGGCCTAATCCAGCGATGCACTTGCACAAACAATTTGACGTCATTTGCCTGCTTAGCCATCGAGCCTTGCCTATTTCATTATCATGAACAATTCAGGCCCAAACTAAGCCAGCGGCATTATCCTGATTTCCAGATCCTCCTCCCCCCCTTAGGTATCTAACCTAGTCTTACCTTCAAGGCTAAGGTACATGGCTTAGGTTAATGGGGATGGACTGGCACTTGTTATTGACATTTTCTCATGGCTGGTATTTGCTTATTGTGATTAGACCCTGACAGAAGGTAACCTTACCCTTTGATATTAGTAATTAACATGAAAGCCACAAAGTCATTATCAAGGCTAATGCAGAAAGGTTTCCCGTCTGACAAATATTTAAATCCTTTAAAATACCTCTTCAAAAATAACTCAAGGCAGTGATATAGAATTTTTGCACATAGAATTTTTGGCAAAATATTTTCATTTCGCACAAAAATAACAAAATGCATCGTGCGTGGAATAAGCGATTCCCGAAAATCGGATTCCCCCACTGCGCAGTCGCTGATCTGCCCCAAAAATCGACCCACTACTCGCCGGAAAAAAATGTGTTTACGCCGTGGATTTTCACGATTCGGAAAATCTCTTAACTGTTCAGCGCGGTTTCGCACTTGAGAAATGGAATCGTCACATGGCCGCCTTTGACAATGTTTATGTATGGGCTATGAGGCAGGCTGAAACCAATCACAAATCCATCCAGACCAAGGCCCGAAAAGAGTAGATGGCCCGAAAACAAGCCCCTGGTAAGCAAAGCATTCATATTGTAATCGACTTTAATGCGTTTCATTGTTGATGCCACGTGCCGGGCTTTATTAGTTCAATGTACAACGATGGCATCGCCTTCATTTCCATCCACTCCGGCACCCCTTCGCCGCCCACGTCACTGCTTCCTGTCCTTCTGACAAAGAGCAGTGTTAGGCTAAGGCATGGCCTAGCTGACAATAGAGAGCTGGGGTGCAAGCCCGGAACGCTGTACCGATTGCACGCTTTTACGCTTTCAGACACATTACCCATACCCCATGGCTCTACATTACCGGGTGCACCTTCTGACTTGGCTCTGGGGTGTGGGGCTGTCGGTGGTGCTCCCTGGCAGGACGACCAGGGACGATTGCTGTATTATGTGGCACACCGCTGCTATCGCAATCGCATGCATTCAGGCCAACAAATTGCCCGTCTTTATTATAGGTCTAATGATTCTCATGTGTCTGTGCGTGGGTGTTGACGTCGCCAAGCGATAATTGATAAATGCAGCTGATTGGTATTGGGTATTGGCAGGAGAATACTCCCTGACGTATCCTAATTTCTCCAAACTGTACCAGTAAGTGGCAGAATGGCGAGTGACTGGCAGTGGCGGTGGCTTCCTTGCTAAGCGCCTCCTCGGGCATGCCAATCAGGCTCAATTATTCCAACCGTTTCTGGCAGGCTTCGTTAAAGGGCTGCCAATCCTGCTGCATCACAAAATGTCCTTACACAGGGAAAAATATTCTCAGAGAAGTTTTTGTAGAAACCCCACCAAAAAGCCCTTGAAATAGTGTCCTTTTGTTTCCTTGTTAGTCCTTTTAATTAACTATAAAGATTCCTTTTTTTTTCGAGTGCATCCTGGCTCCTTGTATTGCTCACTTCGTTTTGTGTTCACGCTCACTTTGCCACCCGCCTTGGGTGGCTGACGATGGGGTTGGTGGGTGGGGTACGTGTCACAATGGATGCATCGAGCATAAGTAATTAAATTAGAATTTTTTGAGAAGCATAAAAGCGAGGCAGCGCTGATTAACGCCCGTTGCCATGACAATGAGGATGACGGCGTTTCCTTGTCCTCCACCACCCACCAAAGGCCGCCCGCCACCCGCCGCTGGCTGTTGCTCATTTGCATCTGCAATACAAAGCCCCCCTCGGCCATTCCGGGCCCCCGGTGCCACCTTAGCGCTTGCCTTTTTGCTTAACTCTGATTTATGCAGATTTCATTAAAATTTTCTGCATGCAAAATAGCAAAATGAAGTTTTAGTTTTGTTCCCCATTGTCGGCGACAACCCATTCATTGGCACTCGTGCCCACCCACTCCCGTCCGTCAGCCCGTCGCTCCGCATCATCCTTCATTGTGTTAATCAACGCTGACAGCGCAGCCGCAACACGAAAAACAGTTTTGGGCTGTCGGCTCTCGGCTGATGTGCCACCTTTAACTCGATTAAGCAACAAAAAGTTGTTGGATTTCATTCACCATCCAGCTCTCAGCTTTTAGGTTTCAGCTTAGCCCAGCGAACCCCAGAACACCCTCAGTTGCAGCCCTCAAGTACGTTCGCCTGTTGCTGTCACATCATCCTCGATGCGCTGAAAAATAGGCTATGTTTTTTTTTACTCTTCAGCTACAAGGATATTTAGGGCATTTTTGGGGTTTTTAATCAGCATTAAGAAGGAATCATAAGATTTAAAGTATATTAAAGAAAATTAAACAAAAAGTTTGATAAAAGTATATGATTTTTAAGTTAGATTTTTAAGTTAAGTAAATTAAAGGATCTTCTTTAAGGACATCTTCCCGTACTTATCTCATAGTCAGAGGACTTTGTACTTTCCCCTTAGCAAGGCCTACTAATTATTATTGTTGTTGGGCAGATTAATCCCCCCGCCCAGCCACAACAGAAATAACCACCACCCACCCGTTGCTTTTTAATACAAATTTAATTGAGTAGTCGGCGTTGCCGCCGTGGACTCATCCGTCTGCGACCTGTCACCCACAGAAGTGGGGGCGTTGGCTTGGCTCCGGCGCTTCGTCACGGAAACATGAAATATTCATAATAATTTTAGAATATTTTCGGTTGTGGTTGGTGGTGGATGTGGGTGGGGGTGGTGGTGGTGCTAAAATGGTAAATCAGGGATTGGGGAAGGGGTTTTGGGTTGAATGGATGGATGGATGGGTTTGAATGCTGAGTTGGCGCGTTTTATTGTCTGCAAAATGCTCTCAATTGTTGTGCGTTTTGTTTATCGAGCGGGAATGCAAAGAGCCAGTCAGCAGGAATACGGAACACGGAACCCGGAACACAAACTGGAGATGAAGGTGTCTGTTGGTGGGTCGAACAAGCAACAAGTAGAAAGGTTTAGTAAACCACAAACAATGCTGAACAGCTAGTCAGTGGGAAAGCTGCTCACATGAATCCATATTCATAAACCGAATAAAAGGCGCTTGGCCTCTCTTTGAAAATCGGAATCCAAACTAATTGGGTGAAAGTGCACAGAGACGAGGCTTATGCGATGGCCAGCACAAACAACCAGCACAAACGAGAGCAAATAAAATAAAATCGATGGATGGCCCGTCCGCCCAACCTAAGTGCATCAATAAATGTCGACCTCGTACACACTCCAAATGGAACGGAATGGTCGTCCTTCTTCTTCGGTAGGAGGACAAGCAAATCAAATAAAGCAACAAACATATTTGCCAGGCGGAAGCTGTAATGGAACTCGAAATAGAAGGCAAACAGAATTCGAGGGAAACTACATCAATACACAGGATGCTGGAGGCTGGAGACTGGAGAAAGGACTACACCCAAGAGGGTGTACTATATGGTGGTGTTTCCACTAGATACATTTGATGCACTGTTGACACAGAGCCATTCAATTTGTTGTGGCTCATTAGAGTGGTGCAACTGTTGCTGGAATCTGGTATCTGGAATCTGGACCATGACAGGAACATCAAGAAAGCAGAGTTCGGACCTCATCCGCTGTCAACGTCATTTCAAGGGTGTTTGGCTAAGTGCTTAGCCGTGTCTAAAGCGGATCGCGTGGCCTTTGCTGACATTCATTAGACATCAACCTTTCCACTTCAGCGGTTGACTAACCGACTAACTCACTGACACTTGTCCCAGTTGCAAAGAATCGATTCTCGAACCTCAAGAAGTTCTCCATCTCCAATCAGGATATATTGCTCTGCACTCTTTACTGATATATACCACAGACAAATACAGATATATTACAAAACACTGGCAGGCTGGCAGCGAAACCAAAATGTCGACGACAGCCCCTTGGGACTGGCATACTCATACTTCAAGTTGATTATTAAAATTGCCAGGGCTTCTGGGAACACAAATGAGATGCAGTAACTGACTAAGATGAATGTACTTCAATATTGAAACTCTATGAAGGCAGAAGCTAAAGATCCATGTTATTCAAAGCATTGAATGAACGTGAACGTGTGGCGGTTGGGGGCAGGTGCATGTTGGCATGGTGGCAAGGTGGCAAGCTGAGAGGCTGCGGAGCATGGGACGTGTGTAATGCCTCGGTTCGTTGCATTAGCCATAAATCTTCATCATGGCTCGCTTCATAAATAATGCGAATATGCGAAAATGGGAAATGTTTTTGGTTTTGTCGTCGCACGTTTGTTTTTTGCTTTAATTTTAATGACGCTCCGCCCGCTCGGCATACTCGACACACAACGATAACGCCCTATCGGGGCCAGTTCGAACTGTTACATACATTTTCTGCCTGGTTTCACTTTAATCGCAATGCACATACTGGCGATGGGAGTGCAAATTGGAGGCGTGTATCCACAGGACAATTTGTGGGCGGGCGGCCATTAGTGTGTTTGATTTTCATCTGCAAGGATTCGAGGACAATTGAAGCTGCCTTTCGGGCAGCATGTAATAAGCCCTGGCCTTGGGAGGGCCAAAGCGCACTCTTTGCGTTGCCTGTACTTGTGGTATAGCGTGTGTCCTGATAGTATAGTATGTCCTGGAACCCGTTTAATGCTCTATTTTTCCCTCTCACTCTCTTTCTGTTTCGTTCTCTGTTTGCATCCTTTTGGCGAAACCCCACAGCGATCCCCCCATTCTGCAGGCGCACAACCGAACGGACATCATACTGCGTTTACCCATGGGCAAAAGGATTAAGGACATTCGATGGCTGTCAGTGTGGTGCAGACGCTTCACGGTGAGTATTATTTCTTAACCATCCTTGGTTTATATTTCTACTTTCCTATTTTTTTTTTTATTTTCTTTTAGGATGGCACGCGCCATCCTTGCAGATTTATGTGTGTATTTAGCCGGGTTGTAGCTTGTGTCCTTTTTGTAATTACATTTTTGTAACTGAACTGCAGCTGCACAAGGATATCCTAGCATTATGCTGGGCTATCGATTATCGTCCTAATAGCTTTTTGAAAAGGAAGTCATTTGGCTTTCTTCTCGGCTTTCATAAGAATAAGGATTTTATATCATTAGGGGCAGGGACACATAAAATCGAAAAGAGGAGCAAAGCGCTTGCAGGAAATTCAACCAGACCATATGTATATGTATATCCTTTTTTTTAAATCCTTTGAATGGCTGGTAATGTGGGTCAGACAGCCAGCCAGGAACTTTGTTTTCATTAAAGTTTTAGATTTTAATTACACTTTTGAAAATGCAAATCCCGAATCCCGTCCACTTGCAATTATGTTTGCTTTGACCACCAACCGCCTTCGTCCTTTGAAAATTACTTTTGTTTTACTTTCCACCAAGAGGGGCAAAGGCAAAAAAATGCATTTTTAGATAAATTTTCTGGGAAATTTGTAGGAAAACCCTTTGCCTCAATTTCGGAGGGCGCGGTGGGTGGTGCGGCTTGGTGGCCTTAAGCTCGAGTTCGCTGCACGGTCGAATAAAAGATGGCGACCGTAGTAAAATAAATTACAGCAGACATTTTTGATTAACTCAAGTGGTTGCATATAAATACAGACACACTCCCCCAACACACAGACAGGCCTGTGTATACACACGTCCGGGATACAGGGTGCCATTTTGGTGTGTTGCTCCACCACACCAATACACCCCCAAACGGCTCACGTGTGTCTATGTGTGGGTGTGCTACGCTGCCTTCCATTGACTGACAGCCAAAAAACTTCTTGGGGGCTGACTGCCACACTCACACAAGTGCAGCCAGATTGGGGTTAGTTTGCCGCTGTGTGAGTGTTGTTTGTGGAGTTTTGAGCGCGCATGCCCGATTTTTTGTACAGGGGGGAAAGGGAGCTCCGGGGGCGAGCCCCCACCCGGGGGGACATACATAAACACACATTATGTACAAATGTTTTGGGTATACAACAACAAAGCGTTTGTTTGCTTACTTAGAACCGCGTCAAATGTCAAAAATACGTAGACACGCAAAACTAATGTAAAATAGGAAAATATTCTTCAAACTATTAAAGTTTCAATACCCTTTCCTTTGGACTTAAGGAAATAAATTAAAGTTAAAGAATAGCAAAAATATTTATTATTGTGGCATATTTATTTCCATATACATTTTATTATGCAAATGGGAGTAAAATATTTTTAAGGTCATCATCATTTTCTATGCGTATTTTTATGGTTCTTAATTCAAAAAGATTTTGATTTATTAAAAAATAAATGGGAAACTTATCCGTGCCAAATGTATGTAGACCATACCGCTCATATGTAGAAAAGTGTAGAAATAGAAATGTAACTAAAATATTTGTGCTGCCACGCCTTAAGAAGCAAAAAAGATATATGTATAACCCAAAACCTCCTTAGCTTAATAATACAAAAAATAATGCACTTCAAAATTATCTTCTTAAAAAACAACAATATTTAATCCGTACCTCTTTGTTTTCAGGTTGATTTCGGAGAAGTCTTTATCCCGCCCAATCTCGATGTGCCCAAGCCTCGAGTCCTGCCCGAATTCAAGCGTTTAGCTCATGGCCTTCGCTCCAGCAACATCAGCGTATTGGATGCCAAAACTTTCTATATGTAAGCTTGCTCTTTATTACATAATTTTGAAAATATACATTAATGGCTCTTTATTATTTTAAAGCCCCAATCTGCATTACGATGGCGCTGGACCGGATGCTTACTTTTGGGTGGGCAACGGAAGTGAACCGAACATCATGGGTGTTAAGGTCAGTGAACCATTTAATTACGAAGGATCATATTCTGCCGCGTTTTAAAAACGGAATCGGGCGTTCATCGCTTAATATATTCGATTTTATTTGTCAAATTTTTAACCAGGTCTCTACAGAATATTTGCATTAGAACCGTAATAAGGAACATTGACAATTTATCTTAAAGTTTTTGATTGGTTACGCTTTGTTTAAACATACTTAACAAATTATAAATCTTAAAATGTAAACACTCATATATCCATTGCCTAATTATTTGGGCACCTAGAAGACAAACAGGAATGAAGGATAAAATTGTATCCTTTTTTTGAGTATGATAACGTTCCAGAAGATTGTATAATTTGGAAACTATTTAATAAAGTTTTTATAAATAATTAATTAAAAATAAGTGCCCTCCTCCTCGATTCTCATAGGTTGCACTTAAGCTGGCTCGAAAAATCGGAAAAATGATAATTTATTTTTTGTATTTTTTTTTTTGTTTTCTTTTTTAAAAATAATTAAATAAAATCTAGTGCCCTCCTCCTCGATTCTCAAAGGTTGCACTTAAGCTGGCTCAAAAAATCGGAACAAAAATTATTTTTTTTTTTCTTGATTTTTTTTTTCTTGATTTTTTTTTTCTTGATTTTTTTTTTCTTGATTTTTTTTTTTAATAATAAATGTTTATGATTTAAGTTGTATTTTTTGTAGTAGTTTAAGTCAAAAGTAAGCTTTCCTTTCTTCTTTTATTTAACGTTTATATTTTTGAAAGGAATGGAAAACGAATAAGACATAGCCCTCTATGGGGGCCCTATAGCCCTTCTAGTGCAGTTTTCAAAATTTAAAGGGGAACCTCCAGAAAATTTGACAAAAAATCGAAAAAATATTTTGTTCCTAGATTTGGATGCAGAATGATGGAGAATTCATGTACGAGTCGTTTAAGGTATTCCTTTTAGGAATCGGATAAATATTGAGAAAGATATAGCCCTCTATGGGGGCCATATAGCCATTCTAGTGCAGTTTTCAAAAATTGATGGGGACCCTCCAGAAAATTTGACGAAAAATCGAAAAAATATTTCGTTCCTAGATTTGGATGCAGAATGATGGAGAATTCATGTACAAATCGTTTAAGGTATTCCTCTTAGGAATCTGATAAATATTGAGAAAGATATAGCCATATATGGGGGCCATATAGCCCTTCTAGTGCAGTTTTTAAAATTTGAAGGGGACCCTCCAGAAAATTTGACGAAAAATCGAAAAAATATTTCGTTCCTAGATTTGGATGCAGAATGATGGAGAATTCATTCACAAATCGTTTAAGGTATTCCTCTTAGGAATCGGAAAAATATTGAGAAAGATATAGCCATATATGGGGGCTATATAGCCCTTCTAGAGCAGTTTTCAAAATTAGCAGGGCACCCTGACGAAAATTGGACGAAAAATCGAAAAAATATTTCGTTCCTAGATTTGGATGCAGAATGATGGAGAATTCATGTACAAATCGTTTAAGGTATTCCTCTTCGGAATCGGATAAATATTGAGAAAGATATAGCCCTCTATGGGGGCCATATAACCCTTCTAGTGCAGTTTTCAAAATTTGAAGGGGACCCTCCAGAAAATTTGACGAAAAATCGAAAAAATATTTCGTTCCTAGATTTGGATGCAGAATGATGAAGAATTCGTGTACGAATCGTTTAAGGTATTCCTTTTAGGAATCGGATAAATATTGAAAATTATATAGCCCTATAGCCCTTCAAAAAGTGTAAAAACGAATTAAAAATGTTGAATGTAATGTACATCATTCAATTAAATTACAGGTGCCCAACGAAATGGGATCTTTGGAACCCTTACGTGGCTACCAAGGCGAAGACATCGAGATTCAGTTGCCTGGTGGATTGACCGTCTACGACATTGACTGGCTAGCCGTTTGGTGTGTGGAGTACAGACACAATTTTGGCCACGTGTATATACCCAGAGACCTGGACGTCCCTCCGGCTTTGGGCCAGACCAAGATCACGGTATGTTTTTTCTACACAAACATATTTTATAGAAATAGTTATGGAACATTGCCCCGATCCATGTGCATTTGTCATTTTCACATAACTCATAATGTATATCTCTTTAACTTATGCGCGCCGCATTAGCCTCCATGGTGGTATTCACCCGTGAGTACTAGACTTTAGCCTCATGCATGATTCACTTCCAGTCAGAGCATGCTCCCTAATCCTTTCGATTTGTCCATTTCAGACAACCACGACGCCGCGGCCGGTGTACAGTAATTGCCGGGAGATCCTGCCGAATAGGCTTCAGGTGAAGTGGGAGCTCCAGGGTGAATATATTCAGATCGAGCTCTTTGGCCAAATCACCGAGGATCAGTACATGGCCTTTGGACTATCCGGTGCCAATGGACGGCCGCAAATGGCCCAATCCGATGTGGTTGTGGCCTTTTACGACACCAACGCCCGTGTTTTCCGAGCAGAGGATTACTTCATTTCTGATTTGTCCCAGTGCGACGGGCAGCGAGGTGCCTGTCCAGATGAAAGGCTAGGAGCTCGTAATGATGTTGTTGTGGGTCAGTAGACTCTTTATCGAACTTGGTATTAGACATTATTATAAACATGTTTGTTTAGTGAGCGGTGACCGGAAGAACGGGGTAACTACCATCCGCTATAAGCGACTCCTGCAAACCAACGAAGCTCTGTACGACACTGCTATCCCCATTGATCGAGAGGTTTCAGTCATCGCAGCCATTGGACCCCTGAATGCCCGAAAGGAGGCGAATGCCCACTCCCACACCGCCAGCGATCATAACCAGGACGACATTCGTATTAACTTTGGAGCAAGAGTAAGGAACCATAGACTTTCTAGAAGATATAGCAATGAAAGTAACTCCAATATATTGTCCTTTAGAACGACCACGCCTGCAAGAGCTCGCTGTACGATGTCAAGGACGAGAGCGGACCCAGGCCATGGCCCACGAGGAAGATCGAAGGTGTCAGGAAGTTCCGTGCCAGCATTGGACCCACGGGAGGCAAACGAGGCTACACGGCCATAACTGGGGGACCCTCGTGGGGCATTGCTTGGTATGTGAACGATTTGCTGATTCCTGAAATCACAGTGGAACGTGGCCTGAGCTATGAGTTTATCGTCGAGGGCGGCAACGATCCGTCTCAGCCAGCAAGGTAAGGATGGCATTCTTTCTAATATTTCTTAGCATTTTATAAATCCTTTTTTTTTAATTTCACAGATATCATCCATTCTATATTACGGATTCGCCTGAAGGTGGACTGGGCCAGAAAATGGGTCTAGAGGCCCGCAAGCAAAAGGCCTATGCTGGTGTGGAGTACGATGAAGATGGCGATGCCATACCCACAGCAGGTAAGCTTAATAGTTATACAATAATTGCAAAGGACTACAAATGAAAATTATTTCCAGCTGGTCGGTATTGCGAGTGGGAACACCAGACCATAGATAGGTCGGCGGAAATCGAGACCTTCGAAGAGTATGTAAAGACCCTGGTATATAGGTGCGCTGAAGGAGAGCCTGGTTATCTGAATTGGACAGTTCCAATGAATGCTCCGGACGAGCTTTACTATCAGGTATAGGTGCAATCACTAATTCTTCGGATAAATGTGTAACTTTCTTTTCCTTCGAATTTAGTGCTTCACCCACAACAACCTTGGCTGGAAAATAAAGGTGGTGAACATGGGAGCATCCAGGGGAGCACACATTGGCAGTAGCCATCTCTCCTTGTATGGAATTATGACAGTTATTAGCCTGGTTGCGACACGCCTTCTTTTCAGAGGCTCTGTGCTTGCCTGATAGTGCCCTAGCCTTGCCCAGTAAATCGGTTTACCATTTAGTCTAACCTCCAAAACCATAGGCAGACAATGCTCCAACCTTTGGAACACATATCTTAATTCTCACATATCTCTTCCGAAAACTATATATACTGTTCATATCCGATTATTTTTCACTACGAAAACTTTTGAATGGACATTGTCTGTCATGGGTTTTGAGCCACTCGGCGGCTTTCACAACCAGGCTAATATCATCTGACAAACATATCTTGACAATAATTCGTAAGATGTAAAACTGTTGAAATTGTGTGTGCATGCGTGAGAGTGCCCACTGTACTAGTGAAGTGGGCGAAGAATGGATGTTGGCCGCAGCCGAGACTGAATCGGTTGGCGGCCCTAGACTCTGAAAATAAGTTGGAGGGGCAGCGAGATCTTTTTGTAAATTTACGAGTATGGAATTCTACTTTTTTACATGTATACTTATTAAATTTACTTATACATCTACATTTCTAGTACAGTAAAATGTAATTTTTCTAGCAGCTAGATACTGAAACATAAAGAATCAAAAGTGTTTGCTAAGCGGTTCCATGTACGCCGACAATTAGAAACAGTGACATTGTGACAATAAACGAACAATGATAATAATGGTGTGGCTACACACACACGAGAATTTTCAGAAATAAACATTTATTTAGATGGGCCTCGAGGTCCTGAAACATTGTACAATAAGAAACTTAGGAGTGTAGGAAGGCATAAACAAATGCAATTTGTAAGACAATAAAATCTGCAAATATGTGAGTTTTGAGAACATTATGACGACAATACAATAATTTTAAAGAATTTGAATGTACTAATAAAATAAAGATAAAACACTATGTTATTTAATGCTATTGACTACACTGTGGTGCTTCTTGTAACGATATTAGATGAAATGTAAATGACACGCCACAATTTATACATGTAATGGAATCCAACAAATCCCCCCTCTGATGGGACTCTGTTTTTGTTATCAGATGATTTTCTTATAACTTTTTTAACTATATTTGCGTAATTGGTGTTTTTATATAAGCATGATACGTATTCATATGTGTATGTTTACAATAAGCTGTATGTTTACTTTGGTAAGTGATTAAATGAAGGGAAGCAGTGGGAAAATAATTAAATATTCTAGACAATAACACATGCATTGAGTAATATTATAAAATAATAGATATGTATGCATGCAAGGTTTTGGTAAATCTTTTTGATAGATGTACGGAAAATACTTGGATCGATTGAATAAATCATTTTGTCGCCTAGCCTAAGCCGAATTAATAGAACTAACTTTTCCTAAAAGTATAAATATTGGACACTCAAGTTTGTTAAGTTTCTCTATTGTTATGTTGGGTTCTTCTTAAACAGTTTTCCTTTGTTATCCTCAAACAAACAAGTAAGTGTTAAAGGAACACTTTTTTCTGTATGTACCCATCTAAGACACTTGTGGGCAGTTTTGATATTGAAATTTGTAAAGATCTGGATAGGGTTTGTACCACTAATCGATTTTTGTATAGTTGATAAAGCTAAGCGCACAAAAGTCCACAAAAGGGAAACCCAATGATGTAATAACGCGCAAATCAAACGATTTATAAATGAATTCAGACCGTTTGTACTCCATTTATATAAATATACATACTTATACATATATTTACATTACACGAACAAGACAAGAATATGACTCTTAAAGAATATCCCTAAAAGTTTAAAAAATTTCCATGTCGATTATAACTTAACATCTCGTACTTAGATAGCAACATTTTTCTGCATTACCTAAACAAAGTACTTTCATTACGAATAATTAAATCAAAATCAAAAGAAACTTGCATTCAAATCTCCAATGTAACAAATAGATATGCATGAATCACAGCAAATCAACTATTCCATTTTAAAATGTTAATACTATCGGATCCACAACAAAAACCATTGACAATAACGAGCCAGGCAGTTTGGTCAGTTAAGGATAATTGGTAGAGAATTGAAAGATTGATGTCAATAAGCAGCTTCACAAAATAATATTTAAACTGCTAAAAAACAAAGAAATATTCTATAAATAAATCTCAAGAAACGATAAAGTGTTTTGTTCTTGTGAGGGTATTCCGTGGAGGGTACTACGGAATATGTCATACTGAGCGTATACGCAATGTACGTATACCGCTATTACTGTTACATACTGACGCTGCTGATTTTTGAAACTAAATCTAATTTAATATTTATTATTTATGTCGGGACGGCGCGAACGCCATTCCCGGCTACCAAAAATTACACGCACGAGTTATTCACATTAGGAATAATCGCAGAGGTCAACTCAGCCGAGGTGCAATGGCCAAGCCTCACTCCGGAGGAACCGCCTTCGTGATCACGGTTAACCTCTACGCCAGGTAAGTATGCTTTACACCGGCCAACAATGGGGTTTCCATTAAAGTGGTTCTAGAACCAGTTGGGAATTATAACGGACAGTTGAGAATTACAAAGAACTGTACATGCGCATATGCACCCCGTAAGTATGCTACAATAACGTAATAGATGGCGCCACCGAAGTAAGAATTCAAATCCTGGAGGGAGTTCTATTTTATTTAAGAATTATATGCCCCAAAACCCAATAAACCGTCCATTCATATTTTATGTGTATTGCTAGAAAGTTTTTATTTTACATTTTGTATTTATTATAAACTATTTTGTTTGTTTTTGTTTCGCAATGTTGTGATTTGTTAACACACGACTGTGCAACATTCAATGAACACACAAACGTGTTTAATGCATACAAAATAATAATACAAATAATCGTAAGGTATAGTATAATAAAAATAAGATGTAAGATTAACTAACATTGTAATGCATAATGCGATTTGGGGGCAGAAAATGAATATCAACATAGACATATCGCTGTAGATATATTTAAACCTAAGCATATAGTAGATCTAGATATACGTATGATGCTGTTATGGGCCGTACTAAATGCGTTCGAATCAATGAACATTCGCGTTAATACGTATTTGTTGACAGAGTTTGGAAACTGTACATGTTCTTCACACGATTTGTTGTTTTTGTTTAATTTATGTTGTTATTGTTATTTAGAATAATGCTTTACCATGTGTTTATTTTTCTGAAGTTGCAATGCGGCCTTTAATTGTGTTGGGGCGGGGTCTCTCCCCATCGATCTTTCTATATGTAAGCTCTAGATTTGGTGAGAAATACGTAAATGTTGCTGCTGCTGTTTATGGGTCGATTGCCTATCACCCGTAACAATGTTTGGGGCGGTTGCAAGATTGCGAATAATTAGGTTTAACGATTACACTTTCGATCTGGTTGGTTTTTACACAATTATACACAATTTATGCTGTTTGCCAGTCGGGGCTATAAATATATATCGGCGATTTACATACATTCGGTTGTAACTCTTACAGTTAGGCAATTTTCATATCATTTTCGCTGTTTATGTGTGCTGTTGCGTTGGTTCGCGATCGCTTGCATTAATTGGTTCAAAATAATTTTTACATTAAACAGTAAAGGAAACCGAACACGAAACTTTAACATGCAAGCGCTCAAAGAGACGGGAACGGGATCATTTTCTCATAATTAATTGCATTGATTTGCTAAACATAATGAAGCAGTTACGTAGCGGTAATTAAATTTGCAAAACTTAAGCGCACAGAGACATACAACTGGTTTGCCTTCGCTTGGGTATCATTTGTTTTCCTTTCTTTGTTTAATTCAGTTTGTTTCAGAAATTGTTTCCGTTTTCTGGTTTCTTGTTAAATATTAATTAATGATAATAAATAAAGCCTAGTTTTAATGCCTGCTTCAAACTTGGACATCGTTCAATTACTACAAGACTATATATAGACGTAAATACAATTGTTTATCATTTATATTTATATTTAATCTAAATTATCCTGGAAAATTAATTTAATGTAGCCGGTCGCGCCATCCAACGGCGTCGCACAGAACGGACAGACAGCCTGAAATCCGTTGGTACCGTGTGGTATCTCAACATTAGCCCAGTATCTGAAAGATGCAACAAAAATACACAATTAATAGAATCAATCTTTAGGATTTCATGTGGGGTTTCATTTGCTCACTTGACAGTTTTCTCAGTCGCCATGTGTCCGCATGGATTGAACGCAAACGTTGGGGCGCCCACGTCCACATAGAAGGCCGGTTCCAGGCCCATGCACAAGGTCACCACTGGACCCAGTTCCAGGCACATGGGACAGCGGCGTGCGCCAGTGTTCTCGTCCTGGCCCCAGTCGTGATGTCCTGCACAAGCAAATAAAATCGCAATTAAAGTTTTCGTCACTGGGGACAAAGGACAAAGTTACAACCACTCACCTTGGACATGACCGCAGTTTAAGTACACATAAGGTTGGTTCACCTGATCGCTAATGTTAACTTTTCGTGGTATGACCAGTGTGTTCAGGCCCACCGGGCACTGTGGGCGACCAGCATTGATGGCATCGATAAGTTTTTCCAAATCGTGTTTGGTCTGTAATTGTACAAGAGGTTAGTCATTGGGTTTACTGGGTGATGTCTCAAGAACTACTCACCGGAGAGTGTTGCAAGCCCTCGGCGGAACGCCAGAGCAGAGTTGCGCCGCAGAGATCAATTAGTGTGCCGTCCTGCAATATGTTGCATTCATCATAGATCTGAAAGAGAGATACCCGCAAGATTAATGAAATTCTGAATGCCTGGGCTGGATAATTAAATTACTCACCGGCTGGCCCTTTTGCTGTGCCGAACGCGACTCGCGGAGGCTGAAGACGTCGCCGCCCACGGAGCACTCGCGCCAAAGGCCACACTTGGCACTGCCGCCACAGAAGGATCCTTTGGGATGCATAATCAGCACGCCGTTGGTGGTCAGGCCGTCGATTTCCACGTTGTCCTGCCATTTGGTGGCCTTCTCCTGTGCAAAGTCAAGTTCGAAGCTCATTAGAATCAGCTGGAGATTTCAGATGAAAGACTACTTACCCCAAGGAATATGTTTCTGCTCGAATCAAAGCCTGCGGCGAATATTCTCGCCTTGGCGGGCTCACAGCGGTTGACCAGAATGCGGCAGGCGAAGCGAGAAATCGTGCTCTGCATCACCTTGGCGTCCTTCTTATCACCGGGCAGTGTGTCCATTACGACGAAATCAATCGGTGACTCCGAGGAGCGTCCCACCTGCAAATTTATATCATAGTGCTATTAGTGTCGGGGCAACAGTGATGATTACTGATTAGTCTACTATCTGGCAGCCTGACGGCACAGGTATCTGCAATTTGTCACTCCACAAATAAATGTCCAATCATGCGATATTGGCATTACACTCGAGGGCAATAGGGAAACGATACCTTGGTTGCCAGGCGGAGGCCATACCCAATATTAAATGTCGTTTTGTCTGCATGGCTATGACTTGTGACCTTCTGATGGAGTGGCCACTATTAAGGACCTTGACGAAGCTTTAATTAGCTCTGGGACATTCATCAAAGTCAGTTGGCCAGCCTGGCCTCTGGAGGATTATGTGGCAAAGAAACTATGCACTCTCTTCTCACCTGAAACATGTCCGTTTCCGTGTCCTCCTTGTACTCGACGATTACCGCCTGGCTGCGTGAGAGCGTGTACGAGATTGAATGCTGATTGGCATCCAGTATGGCCTTCGAGGTCTGGGGCGATTGGACAATGTAGTGCTTGGAGCGCTTCACGCCGCTCGCCTCCGTCCGCTTGTGGAGCACAAATTTGGAGCGTCGTCGTCCGCGATCGCCCTGTGGCAAGTAACCATTGTAGCTGCAACGATTCAGAGATACAGATACTCATGTAACGAGATGTCGGCTATGGCGATAAGCTTTAGTTCGAAATGGGGGCAAGCGAGATTACGTTGCCCCAACAAATACACATAATTTAGATGGACTTTATAGGTCAAGTTCTGCCCTGTCGATGTGTTTACGCAATTAGTGGCCTCTCTCCCTGCCTCCCACTCCCACTCCCCCCAGATAATGGCCAATAATAACTCAAAAGAATAGTGTGCTGGCCTTTGTTTCCCTTCTCGGCTATATATTTCTGTCTTTTTGCTACATTAGCTAGACCATAAAATGTGTAATTACCTTTAGGAATCAGTAAATGGAAAAGTTATAGAGTCAATAGTGGATGGGTCTTGTGTAAATAAATATTTATAGGAAAGAGAACACATACTTTAGCCCAAAGAGGTGTCTGATAATTTCTTTATAAACCTCACTAAACTATAAAATTCCTCAACATGATTTCTGAAAAGATCGATCCCTCATTCTTCCAGCCAAGTCATAAAAACAAGATTTCAAAATTCCCTCACAACTTTATTTTCTTTCAAAGCAACCATCAGAACCGAATGTTATCCGTTCGTGATGTAAAGTTCCCAGAATCGAAGTCCGGGACATGTCCAATAAAATGATACATCCCAATCCATGTTTATAATGACATTTTGACCCTCCTCCCCATCGTGCTGAGACTTATTTTTGTAACTTTTAGTGAGCTGCCCGTCATGCTTTTGATTTATTCAGGCCCTCATTTGGATAGCCGACCAAATTCGCGGTGCTCTTCGAGCTCGTTAATTGGTAATGTCTTATTTTGATGACAACAATTAAGCGATTGAGATTTGGCTGACAACAATTTAAGTGTTTGTACGAGTCTGGCTGACTGGCTGGCTTCTTGTCATCCATGTCGTTCGGCAATCATCATGTGCTTGTCTATCATATATCACTAACTGAAAGCAGCCACTATGGAGTGACCACCACATGTTGCTTTCGGAGGTGGGGCTACCAGCACATCGTAGTCATGATAAATGGGATATTGATGGGGATCTTTGTAGGCTCGCTGCTGCTCTCAGCTCCCTTTAATATTTCTCTCCCTTTGCGAGGCAGGGCCTTTGTCCTATGGGCAATTAAAAAGTGTTAAGATAACAAACGCCAACAACAACTGGGCCATAAAGGCAGAAAATGCAGTTCCAGTTCTGAATGCTTTCAGGTAATGACTCAAGTCTGGAGGCTGTGACTCCGATTTTGGAGGGACGGGTGAGTCAGATCCAAAGCGTCAGCCGGCACAGTGTCAAGCGCTTTGCTCGGACGACGAGCATCGAGATTTACAATCATCCGTCCCGGCATCCGGCCAAGACCATCAATCTCAGACAGCGGCGGCCGGCTAGACCGCTGCGTGGATCAAATTTATGTGTCGGACCGGGTTTACTGAGAGCCAGCATTTAAACTCCTGTAGCCGAACCGACGTATAGCTGCTTTTGACTGATTGGCTTTATGGCTAGACTCGGACGGAGCGATGCAGAGCGGCTCGGAAAGGTAAGGTGTGCCGCATCGATTGAAGATCCCCATAAAAGTGCAGTGAATCCTAATTTATGAATCGGCGATGGGCTCTAATAGATTCCGATTGGAATGTGTTGTTGGTAAAATGTAACTGGTTTTGGTGGATGGCCAGGTAGGCCAATATTCATAGAACATCCCCATTTAGTTACTAACCTTGCCCAAATGGTCAGAGTATCTTATCTTTGATTGGCTACTTGACTCCTCTATCCTCCATTTAATTTCGAGAAATCTTGACAAGCAATTATTTTTCGAGTATTTGTGATGTACTCGAGTGTGAGTATTAGATGGACTTACCCGAGTATCACCAGTTCTCCATAGCGCAATCGCGGTTTGTCGTGCCCGTCGCCTCCGTCCTCGGCCAGTATGGGGGACTCTGTGCCGTCGGTGCTGTAAGTGAAAATGGGTAGAATGAGAATTAAATATTTAATGTAGATGCTTTCTCATCCAGCATATGGTTATAGTTTTATTTTCGCTACTCTTTTTTCGGTAATTTGGACAAAGAAATAATCGCCTGAATGAAAACTGCTGCAGTTGGCCCATTATGTTATGCAAGAGATGGAAAACAATAAAGGAAACTTCCAAGTTTTCTACTTGCAAGTGGAAAAGACTTTCCAGAAGCTAAAGCAAAACAATTTCAAAGTAAATGCCAAAGAAATTGCTCATTTTCAACATCTCTATTTCGCCCTTTTCTTTCTGCAGACACTCTCGTATTATTCTGCAACTTTTGCATGGCTTTCTTGGCTTTCTAGAATTTCAAATGAGGAAGTGAGCGGGAGATGGCTCCGCCCGGTCTCTGGCTCCGAAGGTTCTTGGCCCAAAGCCCTAGCAGTGTCGCCTCCAGTTACCAGGCCCCCTTGATAGGCACAACTTGTAGGTAATCGCGTAATTATAGAGATAATTATTTTGCAAATTAGTTGCTCCTTCATCGTCAATATAGAGATTCCCCCATTAGCATGGATGACGAGGCAGACCTGATCTCATTTTTATTGCATCTTGGCTGGTTGTTGGGAATTTCGGGTACATCATAAACGTATTTACGGCAATCTAATAAACCAGCTTGGCGCCGGTTCACGCCCACCCGTACATACACATGGCAAATGGATTTTTAAAATGTACTTCTCACTGGGTAGAGGGGCCTAGAAAGGGGGCTGCATTGATTTTTGCTCGTTGCATTTAAACTTGCTCCCCTTTCGGTGCGATGGTTGCGTGGCTCTGCCACCGACTCTGAGAGGGGCGGGTCTGGGGTGCTCTGGCACTTGAAATTGTGCAGCGCAGACAGAATTTCAGCCCACAAAAGCAGGCTGGCTGGCTGGATGGATGGGTGGGTGGGTGTAACTCTGGGCGCGTGCAAGGTGAAAAGGCAAAAGGCGAAAGGCTCACCCCTCCTCATTATCCGTCCTTGTCGCTCTGTCTGTTTGCAGGCTTCAAATTAGCGCTGCAACTTTGTTTAGATATGTACAGACATATCTGAGCAGATGTACAGTCCTGTCAATGGCTATAAACAAGGACGAGCACATGTGCAGGTCCTGATAGTCCAACCAGTCATTAATGTTGAATAACACAAAGTTAAAGCTCTGAATTAAGATGGATCTTGGACAGTGATGTGACAATGAGATTCTCTTGTAATTATGCCTACCAATTAGTGACAATGTAAGGTTATATTGTGCAACGCACATCCTTAATTAGACAAAGAGACCACCTACCCAGCATCAACTGCGACGTAACATAAACTGGGTTAAATTGATTAAGACTAGCCTGATTAATAATAATATAAGTTTGTCGGGCACAACCCCCAGTGTTTGTCATTTGACTGCCGCCTGAATTAAATTCAATTAACAGGCAAACAATGATGAGATCGAGATGCGATCAAAAAGCATATCAGAGTAAATATTTACACAATATGCAGGCAATCCCTAAGCTAAGGCCATCATGTTACTCAACATCCCAATTGAAACAGTTCTGGTTCGAAAGCTTAAATTATTCCCAAGCGGGCTGGGCCAAGAATTCATTAGCAAATCGCATAAATCTTGATTATTTGGAAACGACAAAAAATTGGAAACAATTTCGAGGGCTTCCACCACCACCATCAGCACACCACTCTCTGCGTGACTATTTCACATGCAATCAGCTGTTCCATGTTCTCATTTCCCCCTGCCCCCATCAGACCCTACTACCATCCAAGAATTTATCGATTTTCAAAGGCAGCAGCATGCCACTATTTGCATACATTTCAATTTTGAAACTAACCCAGGCCCAGGCCCAGGCACATTACAGCTGAAAACCAGAAAAAAAAGCTGGCGAAAAATGGGAAACATTCTGCGCTATAAAAAATATACGTTGTACTTCCAAATCGACGGGGGTGGCAGAGATACAGATACTAAAAGGGGCATCCATGAGATACGATATCTTTGATGGCATGGTTCTCGGTTCTGTTGGTGTTTCTGTTTGTGTTTGTATTTGGGGCTGTGGTGTAGCCGGCTTTGTACTTTTGCTGTTGCCGTCTGTTGTTTAGGGAAATCAATTTTCGTGTCTGTGTGTTTGGGTTTAGGGAGCTGGTATTTGTGAGGGCCCAGCCAGAGGCAGAGGCAGAAGCACACAGGCTTGCTGTATAGAAGAGTATTTCATTATAGGCCACCAACTACCACCTCGTCGTTGCATGACAATGCTCGCAAAGCATCGATTTTCCGTGCATGGCATGGCAGGCCAGACCAGACCAGAACCTCAACCAGAACGAGACCCACAACCAACCGACACAATCGCATTACAATAAATTTTCAAACTAACACAAAGGGCAAACATGTCCCTGGCCGTACCCGCCTGATTGCATGCCACAAACTGCAGCAGGACTCCATCAGCTAGTAGAGTCGGGCTCCGAAATCAGGGCATCCGCTCTGACCATCGTAGGCCATCGCTGGTTCTCCGCGGCGGTTTAATGTCACGGGGTCGCCGCAGCAGTGGCTTATGCAAATTAATTTGATTATTACACGTAAGTAAGCGAGGTATTCATTGCATTCATTTGATTAGTCCGACGGCAGCCCCACCTGAGTGCTGGGGGTCTGTTGCTAAATGGGGTCTCACAAAGCTTTTAGCGTCTCGCTGCACCTCTAATTGAGTTTAACCAAGGCGGGGGCGGTGGCAAGAGTTGAAAGGTCAGCCGAGGGGCCATCTTAACCTCTTCAATGAGTTTTAAGATTCTTACTACCAACCTTTAAGAAAGCTAAAAATATATGAAATTATGATGATGATGATCCACATCCCACAAAGGTTGTGTGGCACAACGACCAAATTTTAAAAATAACACTTCTACGGGTAAACTTTTCGATGAAATTCTGAAAATGGCAGCTGCAGCTAGGGCTTCTTCTTCTTTGTTTGCTCCAGTTTCTGTGGCATCGTACATATATAGCCCACTATATTTATAACTTTCATAAATCTTTCGAGTTTGTGGCAGCCTGGCTCTCTATTTACATGCGGCGACAGCAAAGAAATATATTTGAACGCCACCAGAACGCACCAGAAGGAGGAGTTGGTGGACAGTTCCCACTGCTTGTTTGTTTCTGCAATTTTGAAATTTGATCCAAAACTGCAGTGTTGCCCCTTGTCCCTGCCATGCCAAATAAATGCAAAGACCAGCAGAGTGCAATGGCAGATTAAACAATAAACAAGAGGGGTAACAATGGCCAGAACAGGGCCTTCAGGGGAGTGGGAGAGGGGAAGACAGACGACACTTTTTTGTTGTGTGCCCCTACACCTCTCCTCAGGTATATGTCAGGTAAGAGCAGGTGTTTCGTTACCATATTTTATGGTTAAATTTGCGGTTTGTGCTTGGGTTAGCTGATGGGCGAAGACACTCGGCTCTTCTCATGCTTCCCATGCCCATTCATATGCTGTGTATCTGTATCTGCTGCTCTCTCAGGGAATGTATCTGTATCTGTGCACATGTCTCGGCCGCCACACAGCTGTTTGCATTTCAAGAATGAAACTCTCATTGAGACAACTTGAAAAGCCATCCACGAAAAAAAACTCGTTTTGCCAGCGAAATTTAAGCAGAAAGAACATGGCCAGAAGAGAACATCAAAGAAGCATACCAGAAGCACAAAAAAAAGCAGCAAAGTAAGGGAATTAAACCTCAAAGATACACATACACTCTGTATTCTTGATCGCGAAATAATCCACGAGACTGAGTCTGAGTTGCAAAACCGAAACACACAACTCTGAGGTATTGCAATCGACGAGTGACAGGGTCAAAGAGTTTGTGGGTCTGGGCTGGGCTCTGGGCTTTGGGGTTTAGGCCTTGTTAGCAGCCAGCCACTAATTCCGTTTATGCAAATTGCTGCCGCTCCCGCTGCCTGTCAGTTTCTTAACAACTTTTCTTTGTAGTTGGCCAGTTGAGAAGCCGCGACAAAGATAGCTTTCTCAGCTCGTTACATAATCGCCAGAAATTTCATTTAAAGCTTGTTCGGTTTAGTTTTTTTTTTTTGTAATTTTGTATTATTTTTTTTAAGAAAACATTTGTCCAAACCGAACAATGGCAGCTTGGTCTGCTCCCTGATCTTGCCACTTTTTGTTTGCCTATGCAGCGGCACGTCGCTAACAATATTTTTGCTTTTGGTTTGGTTTGCTTTCCTTACCATTGGCCGGGCTTTTTCCAGCTGCTTTTTGGCAAACAAATTTGCACTGACACTACACCACTAGCTGGCTGGCTAAATTTAAACAAACAAACAGACGGCAAAAAGCATATTTAGTTTACTTGCCAAGAGTCTGAGCTGCTCTTGAGCACGTTTCTCAAAAGAGTTTCGGTGCGAGATGCGGTTTGTGGCGAGATATCTCTCAGATATTTGTCGCCCAGAGTTTATAAATAAATTACTTATCTCTATAAGATTTTCTCTCAAAGACTTCCACATATTACCCACCAATTCCTCTAATAATCCCCTTTTATTTTTACTTTTTAATGGACTAGGAAGAGTATCTCTGCAACTCTTTGATCATTGTCTGGGTGAACCATTAGGTTCCTAGGTTTATGGCTTTTACAAAGCCGCCTGACAGTTTTCGTTTTTTGGCTTTTGGCTGAGCCGCAGTTCGTGCCTCATTCCTCCTCCTTTATGGCTAAAAATAAAAGGCACTAGGACCCACAGCAGATGGGGACTGTGGCAACCCATTTCCGTGCTAATAGTTTCGCTTTTCATTCGTGGAGTGTTTCTATTTTCGCAGCCAAGTTGTCTGGCTGGCTTTGGCTCTAATTTGGAGCATTGTATCGGGCCAAGAGCTATATTAGAGCTCAAGTAGAGATGCACAGCAGTTTTAATAAAAACCACAATGCTGCCCCATCATGGTCTGCAGTTTGTCATCTTAGATGCGAGCGAGGCGGTTAATGAAAGCATGAATATGCT